ACTGTAACTAAGGCCTTCCAGGTCTTTACAAATACCTTTAAACAAGGTATTTACCATTTTTATTTATACATTTTTGTTACTCCTACTGCTTTTTTGCTTTTGTACTAGCATTTCAGACCCTGTGTGAAATATTTAAAGATAAAGGACCCTCTATACGATCTAAAGCTGTTCATTTTCCAATGATTTTTATGAAGGATGAACTAATAAGAAAAGAAATGTGTACATTTATATAATTAAAATGTTTAAGTTGGTCTGCAAAGCAATCTATACACAAAACTGCTGTGTTATATTTTTTATATGTTAGCTTTGCATCCCTTGCTCCAGATACATTTTATACTGATAATTTTTCTATCAAAAAGTGCTCGGTAGTGGGGAAAGGGGGCCTGACTGTTATGGAGGGAAGACGTGTCTTGCTGGAGGTCCTCACTAATCTTGGAAACTAAGGCATATCTTGACCACATACAGATTCAAAACGAGACATTTAAGCTACTTACTAGCCCTCAGTCCTCATGGTGAACTGGCCCATGAGCGTACGGCAGTCAGCCAGATGAACCCGCGAGGGCATGCGGCCTGCCGTGCGCTGGAGGCCACCGTCTCATACAAGCGGGCACCCTGCAATCCCCCCCACCTCTGGACTGGTGGGGGTGATCCCGTTCCACCCTGGGGGCCTCCCTGGCATGGCAGATGCAACCAGGAAACTAGCCGGAGAGTCGAGAGGCCTACCTAAGATGGCGGAGACCATGCAGACCCCAGTCAGCCATGAGGAGAAGCACGGCTCCTTGTCCAAACTGGACCACATATTCAGCGACTTCTGCCTAAAGCTCGAGCATAGAATGCAACAGTGCACCATACAACTGTCGGAAAGCTACTCACCTCGACAGCTGCCACCCGACCCTCAGCAACAGCCTCCCAGCTCCGGCGGGGAACAGAGCCAGAAGATGGCGGCGGAAGAGAAAGCACACAACACTCCCACACATGGCAGCAAAACGGAGGGAACCACCAAAACCAAGAGCTGGACCTCCTCAAGCGCCCACCGCACCAGGGGTGACCCTACTCAAGCCGCACGGTCAAGCCTGCCAATCCCAATCACAATCGCTTGACCACCACACTGCAATGCAGCTGGTTACAGCCGCGAAGCACGCTTCATGACGGCTCCTTGTCCAACCTGGACCACATATTCAGCAACTTCTGCCTAAAGCTCGAGCATAGAATGCAACAGTGCACCATACAACTGTCGGAAAGCTACTCACCTCGACAGCTGCCACCCGACCCTCAGCAACAGCCTCCCAGCTCCGGCGGGGAACAGAGCCAGAAGATGGCGGCGGAAGAGAAAGCACACAACACTCCCACACATGGCAGCAAAACGGAGGGAACCACCAAAACCAAGAGCTGGACCTCCTCAAGCGCCCACCGCACCAGGGGTGACCCTACTCAAGCCGCACGGTCAAGCCTGCCAATCCCAATCACAATCGCTTGACCACCACACTGCAATGCAGCTGGTTACAGCCGCGAAGCACGCTTCATGACGGCTGAGTCATGGCACCCACACCAAGAGGCGGAAAACTCCAGGCCCCCACAGTCACCCGGCAGAGAGGGACTTGATATATACCATAGCCTGAACGGACCACAGTTACAGGCCCCCTCGAAGGCCCAGAGGGAGAGAGGAAACACCCTGGCATACCTCCATCATACAGCAACGCCCAGAGACTCTCCCAAAACACCGAGATGAGGCATTAACTGATACCACGACATCACCCTGTGTGCGGCACCCGCATCCTCAAGGACACGTTCCCTATGCTGCCCTTCTATGCCTGCGCTGATGATACCGTTAATTTCATTTAACTTAATTTTATGTTATGCCATAGTTGATTTTCTGTTCGCATGCCTCTATATACGCACACTCCATGACATATTGGGGCACCCAGGGGTTCAACCCACTAGTAATACTGCAATGGCTTACCTCAAAAGCTTTTATCACAACACACGCTCTATGTATATACAATATGCTATTATACTGTACCAGACACCATATTAACTGTGTAGTACTCTCACCGACAGGGGCGGACTGAGAGCCTTTGGGGCCCCCGGGCAAAATTGGATCCCAGGCCCTTTGAAGGCCAAATATATGTGCAATAAATACATGTTAAAGGATCACTATAGTGTCAGGAAAACAAAGTAGTTTTCCTGACACTATAGTGCCCTAAGGGTGCCCCCAGCCTCAGGGTCCCCCTCCCGTGGCACTGAAGGGGTTAAAACCCCTTCAGCAGCTTACCTTTATCCAACATTGAGCTCCCTCAGCACTGGTGACCTCTCCTCCCCCGACGACGTCAGCTCCCGAGTGGAGTTATTTCTCAATGATTTCCTATAGACGTTCTGCACTTGGATGAGAATTTTGCATCCAGCGTCACAGATGCGCCTCTAGCTGCTGTCAGGAAGACAGCCACTAGAGGTTGGATTAACCCTGCTAAGTAAACATAGCAGTTTCTGTGAAACTGCTATGTTTACATCTGAAGGGTTAAAACCTGAGGGACCTGGCACCCAGACCACTTCATTGAGTTCAAGTGGTCTGGGTGACTATAGTGTCCCTTTAAATATAACTCTCATATAAAACGGCATTCCTTTGGATGTGTATATTGTGAAGGCCTGTGTATCAATGCAATGTTTGTATTTGAAAGCAGTAAATAATCAGATGAAATGCAAAGCAAATAAGTGTCAATGGTGAAAACACAGGTTTCTGAGAAATATCAGATATATAAAACAAAAAACAAAAAATAAATAAAAATATAAGAGAATATACAGCAATAAAATGTAAATAATATAGTCACTGTAGGGGATAGGCAAAGTTCATATCCAATCTGTGTAAATAAATCCGTAGATAACCAGCTGTGCCTTAAAAATAAGGAAACAGATAATAGTGTAACACAGTTTATTAATTGCCCTTAAACATTAAAAAAATCCCTCCTAATTAAAAACTCTTGCAAGATAAGATAGTGGTACTTATCTCTAAGGACCACAAATTCAGCTCAAATAGCAAGTCACTCTTAGCAGTGGTGTACTAAGGGGGGGGCGGGAGGGGCGGTCCGCCCCGGGTGCCAGCCGGGTGGGGGGTGCCATGACCAGCCCCGCCGCTGCCCCCCCATGCTGCAGCCGCCCGAACGCTCTGTAGAGAGCCTCAGGCGGCTGCAGCTTTGCCCGGGCGGTGCGTCCATGAGGGCGGACCGCACCGCCCGGGCGCAGCCTGAAGAGAGGCTGACAGGAGGGAAGCGCTCAGCGCTCCCTCCTGTCA